CAAAATGGCGACCGCGCCCTCCTAAAACCACCTGAGAGGGATTTGCTCAGGGAAGGGAGGATGAAGTGGGAGAAAGCGAGATGAAAGCCAGAATATGGCTATAGGAGAAAAGGTAGAGGAGGAATCCTCCAAATCACTTGCTGTTTGAATGCAAAGTCTCATCAGAATGATGAAGAGAATCCTCGCGTTGACAAAGCCAAGGTAAAAAACGCCGATCAGCCCGCGTTACTGGAGGCTTGAATCGCCAAAAATCAGCTGTTCGGCTGTCCGTTGTCCCACGGGCTGAAGAGAGCTGAAAAAACCTCTAGTCTGGAGACTAGTAGTTTTCAGCCTCCAAGAGGGGCCTATGGCCCAAGGCCAGAGAGCCCAATAACAAGCCTAAATCTGCCTAATCTATCAGTTTGTACTAATTTAGATTAAATACCCAATTAAATATGTTCAATTATGCCTAATCAATTTAGATTCTGTAAAGAAAAAATTATCCTAACTTAATCTAACTGCGGAGCCAAGAAATTTGCACCTAGCTGAGCCAGAGACTAAGTCAAAACTTGGAGGACACACCCAGAGGGAGGCGTGGCCAAAGTTCTGACCTAGTCTCTTTCTGAGCAGGAGGGCTGAAACTACCCATCCAGTGGATTCTACATTCATCATGCTGGAGAAAGAATCATTTTCGGGTCAGGCCAAAAAAGCTGAAAGTAGACATATATTACTTATTTTTAGGCTGTATTATTTTAGAAGGTTTTTTATTTATTTAAAAAAGAAAGAAAGTGGAAGCACTATGCTGTAAAAAAGAATCAACCTCAAGAATAATCTTAATTGTTAAAATGCTTCTAAGCCCCACATATAATCCCAGGGTCTCTTAGAAGATAAAAATGATAAAAAGCTGTAGCCCAGCATTCTATATAAAATCATACACATCTGCCCAGAAGAAAAGACAAAGACAGTTTGGCATAACAGAGAGCATCCAAAAATTAGAGGAGATTATGGGGAGCTATCTTATCCATTTACTTTATACTGAATAGATGTTTTATACCTGGCCAAGACTACCATGGCAACCGTTTTGAGAATATCCACAACATTTTTGAAATTCCAAATGTATCCAAATGGCACTAAATATTTGGAGACCCTTGCCATAACACAGCACCACACTGATTCTGAAAAGTATCTATTTTTATATATCATAACATGCTCTGCAGTAATCTTCTCCAATGTGGTACACTCCAGATGTTTTGGATTCCATGTTCTTGTATATGATAAAGATTTAGACTGAAATGCTGCATATACTAGGTCGTTTCTAGCCAATACATTAACTTTTTGGCATCCACTAATATTTTCTAAATGCCATAGAGGAACTCTTCCAAACAACCAGTGCTTTTTTGTAAAAAAAAAAAAAGGTGCCGGAACTCACACGTCATACAACCCGCCTTGCCTACTATGCAAGGTTCCATCCAAAAAAGGTGCCAGAACTCCGTTCTGGGCATTCTATGACAAAAAAGCCCTGGAAACAATTAAACATTTAATTTTTTGCTTTGTTTCATTTTCCAGTCATCAATAATCTATTCTTTAACAAGAATACTATTTCATCACCCAATGTGGCTGTGTCTTGGAATTAAATTACTTTTATCTGCTTCTCTCCCCAAACTTAATTCAAAAAATCTGAATTTCAGAAACTATATGTCTTCATTCAGCATTTAAAAAACCCTCATAATCAGTTTCCCCATCCTCATTCTGTAACATGGCTGGCACATCTCATGGTCCTATACACCTCCACATGTTAGAAGTGTGTTGGATTCCTCAAACAAGCAAGAATCTCAATCTTTCAAAGTTACAAATCAAACTATCCGCTCAGCCTGGCCATTGAAAGCTGGATGAAATGGTGCAGACGTGGCATGACGGATCATGTTGGCTGTAGAAAAGCTTGAAACTCAGAAGTATTGGGGTCCGTTGTCGGAGACAAGGACATCTGGAAGCCCATGAGAGGCAAAAATCCCTCTCAACACCTGGATGGTCCTGGCAGTAGTAGTGGAGAAGACTGGAACGACCTCTAGCCACTTGGAATGGCTGTCCACGAGGAGAAGGAAGAATTGCCCCTGAAAGGGCCCAGCGTAGTCGATATGAACTCTTGACCAAGGGGCACGTGTCTCCTCCCACCTATGTACAGGGGCCTGAGGCATTTCAGGCCTGGACTGTTGGCAAACAATGCACCCGTGGACCTGGGCCTCAATCTCTTTATCGAGCCCAGGCCACCAAAGATGGCTGCGTGCAACTGCCTTCATCCAGATTATTCCCGGATGTCCCACATGCAGAGAGAGCAAGACTCTAGTCCTCAATGAGGCCAGGATAACTACTCTGCTACCCCATAGGACACAGCCCTTGAAGGTGGATAACTCGGACTTCCTCTTCCAGAAACTCTGGAACTCTATGCCAGGACACGTGTCAGGCCATCATGACAGCACCCATGTCAGCACACGTGTAAGCGTGTGATCAGTGGCTATTTCAGCATTCACGTCCCTAGCATTGAGGGGAGACTCAGGTAATTCCTGAATGGAAATATGTGGTAAGCTGGAGCAGGGTCTGACTCTGCATGGCCCATTTCTTTGCCCAGTTTGTGAACCAGTGTGTAGTCATATGCAGACAAGACAATTGACCATCTCAGCATTCTAGATAATGTGTGGGGTTTGCTTGTTGGTTGTAAACAACCCCAGCAGTGGCTTATGGTCTGTAAAGACCGTGAAATGACGGCCATATAAAAAGTCATGGAACTTTTTTATTCCAGCCACTATGGCCAAGGCTTCCCTATTTATCTGTGCGTAATTATGTTCAGCAGATGATAGGGTCCTAGAATAGTAGGCTACAGGGACTTGTGTCCCATCAGCCTTCAAGTGACTCAACACAGCTCCAATCCCATAAGGGCATGCATCACAGGCTATGCATACAGATAATTGCTCATTGAAATGGGCTAGAACCGCATTTGAGGATAGCAAGACCTTGATCTCTGCAAAACTCCTTTTATGGACTTTTGTCCACAGCCATGGAGCCTGTTTATCCAAGAGACAGTGTAACGGCTCAGCCACTGCAGCCTTGTGAGGGAGGAATGAATGGTAAAAATTGAACAGTCTAGAAAAGCCTAAAGTTCGCTTTTGGACTTGGGACTTGGGGCCTGCTTTAAGCTTAGACTCAGCAAGATGGATGCCTTCAGCATCAATACGGAACCCCAGAAACTCTGTGGAAGTGACTCCAATTTTACATTTGTCTTGCTTTAGTTTCAGCCCCACTTGGCGGAAACGCAGCAAGACAGCTCTAAGCCTTTTAGCCAGATTGTCAGATGATTTCCCAGCGATGAGGACATCATCAAAGTACAGGCAAACACCTGGAATATTGCGGAGCATTCGCTCCATCACACTCTGGAAAATGCCAGGGGCTACATTAACCCCAAACTGCAGCCTTTTAACTTTAAATGCTCCCCTGTGCATTACAATTGTTTGGGCCTCAGCCATTGCCTCATCAACTGGTAATTGTTGATAGGTCTGAGCCAAGTCAAATTTAGCAAAAACACGGCCTCCCTTGAGGGAAGCTAGAATGTGGCTCACCATGGGCACCGGGTACGAGTTCTGCTGCAAGGCTTTGTTAAATGTACACTTATAGTCCGCACAAATTCGGACTTCCCCATTTGCCTTCAGTGGCATTATTATTGGGGTTTCCCAAGGACTGCTGTCTATGGGCTCTAAGATGCCCTGCTGGAGCAGCTTGTCCAGCTCTGCATTAATCTTATTCTTCAACGCGAAGGGCACCCGTCTGGGCTTAATCCCAATGGGTGTGATGGCTGGGTCATAAAGCAATGGGATGCCCCTTGTACGAGCCAAGCTCTGAACTGAACACATCAGCAAACTCCTTGCAAACGTCTCCAAGGCCTGTTGTTTGCAAACTGTGAAGTCCAGTCACTTGGATTTCAAGAGCCTCGAACCAATCAAGTCCTATAAGACTCGTGCGATCACCCCCAACCAGCACCACATCTAGCAACCCTTCAGACTTCCTACGCTGCACCTTGAGCATGGCCTCTCCCTTCACGCTGACACTGGAATTCTGGAAGTCAGTAAGAATTAAATTCGAAGGCCTGAGTTTAACTCGTAGGCCGCTTCTACAGCAAATCTTATTGAAAGTGTCTTGGGAAATGATCGATAAAGCGGACCCTGTGTCCAACTCCATCGATAAGGGAACCCCTTGCAACTTCACGTCAATGTGAAGCTTCTTCCTGAGCGGCCTATGGGCCCGTTTTTAAAATGCTCCTACGGGACGTGCAAAAACCCACCCTGTTTTGGCTGGGGACCCTGGTACCTTTCTGAAGCAATTTTTCCGAAGACCGGTCCTTCTGGCGATCCAAACAGACTGAGACAATGTGGCCTTGCCTACCACATGACCGACAACTGGCAGAGCAGAACTGGCAATCGGAGCACTTGTGGCGTCCTCCACATCCGTAACACTGAGGGAATGAGGTTGCTTTATCTCTGTGCTCTTCAGGTCTCCTCTCCGCTGGCTGTTGTAGTCGGTCCACCTCCACCTCTGGATCCTGTTCAGATTTTTCAAGAGCGACCACTTGATGGATGGAGATTGACGTTGGAGGGATCTTGGCGAGGCGCAAGGCCTTCACAGTTCCACTCGCCACTTCTTTGGCTGAAATTTCTCTAGAATGAGACGTCTTCCTTTGCGAAGATCTTCTGCTGCAACTCACAACTTCTCAGTCCACTAATTAAACAATCCCGAAGTCTCTCTTCTAGGTCCTTGAATTCGCATGGCCTAGTTGCTTGTCGTAACGCAGCAATAAAATCCGCAGACTCACCAGGCCTCTGGTCCCTCTACTCGAACGCATGTCGCCATGCAATCACCGAAACCTTCGATTCAAAATGTTCTCTAAGCTTCTTTTCAGCTCAGTATAAGCAATTAATTCAAGTGGTGCTGGGGCGACCAGATTCTCTACAATATCTAAAGTCTCTTGCCCACAGATATACAGGAGCGTAGCAGCTTTAAGACCATCTTCTCGGATTTGGTTTACCCTAAAGTAGTTCTCCACCCGGGCCACATAAGAGCTCCAGCATTCCAGATGAGCTGTGTCAAATTCAGAGAGACGGCCTAGTTTGGACATCGTTACTGCCCGGTAATCTCATCAACGCTTCATGTTGCAAGGTTTGAGAAGGGGTCCCTTTTGCCGAGCATTCCTCCAGCGTTCTCATACTGGTAGGCAGAGTTGCGATCTTCAGACGCCGAACTTCCCCACGCTTCAGGCCTCTCTTGGTGAGTCAGCCTATCTTCTTTCGTTGTTCCCCTTGCAGCACATCCCATCCTCATCGCCAGTGTTCTGTTTCCAAGTAAAAGGCATTAAGACAAGCAGGAGTAACAGCCTTGTTTTTATTCCATTCACAATAGAATCAAACACAAAATGGCGCAAATTGCTCTTATACCCCTTTGCAGGGACAGCATCAGCCAATCAATGCAAGGCATTTCTCCCGCCTTGTGCATGTGCATAAGGTGGGAAACAGCCTGTCTGGTCCCGGGCATTCATGTGTCTGTCCGGGCCTCTCTGCAACCTCTTGCACCTGCTGAATGACTCAGCAGGCTCAGGACATAACAGAGACCCTGTGTAGGATTACTGAAATTTCAGACTCAGCAAGCTGGCAATACTTCTGCCATTTTGTATTTCTTTAAAAATACTTGTAACCTGTAACCATTTTAAGGCAAGCAAAAGAAATCATAAATAAACCAACTATAAGTAGTCCTCAATTTATGCCTGATTGCTTAACAACCATTCAAAGTTACAACAGACTTCCCTGAGTGGTCAGGTGACTGCATTTGGCAACTACATTTATGGCATTTTGCAGCATTTCATGGTCACATGATTTTATTTTATGACAATTTTGACAAATACTGGAATTTACTTCTGGCTGTTGGCAAGACAGGCCATAGTAAACCATTGATTTGCTTAAAAACTGTGGCATTCATTTAATAAAAACTGCCAAAAAGGTCATAAAATTGAGTTGGTCACATGGGTGATTTGATTTACAACTATCATGACATACACCATGATGGGCAGGCTCTATTGCAGTCATAACTTAAGGGCTATATCCTGCAGAAGTCTTCCCCAATCTGGTGGCATTCATATGTGTTGGACTGCAAATCTTACAATGTTCAACCATATTTTGGAAGTTATTATACTAAAATCATGTTTAGCGTTCAGAAATATGTTTACATTACTGTTTTGACAAGCACTGTATTTTGATTGAAATTCAACATTTACTTTGCTTCAGTTGCAAGGCCAAGCAACATTACAAAGGGAACAAATGAATGATTATTTGTTTCAGAAAGTTGAGGCTTCACACACACAAGCAAAGTTTTAATTTTCATTATTTCTGACAATGTTGATGACCTAGCATTATAAACATTCCCTGCAGCTAGAAAAAGTCACAACTGCAAGAATGAACAAAGATGAGGAAATCTTAAAGGCAGCAAGGGCAGAGCTAAATGAAGCTAGACGCCAGTGGCATCATATGCAAACCGAAATAGACTCTCTTCATGCCATGGTAAGTGTGAGCAAAGAGCTACTCTAAAATTGTTTCCAGAAAGAAAGCATTTGTTCCTCTGTTAACTCACAGGTTTAAACCATCTTTATTACCCCTTCTAACAAGAAGAACAATGTACTGTTCTTTGCAGATTTAAAATAAGGAGACAAAAATGTCCTTCCATATTAAAGTTTTATGGGGGAATTTAAATTAATTCATGAATAGGTCTCATGGGGGAGGGAATTATTAAAAATATAGACATTTTAGTTTAAGAGTTCTTAGCTACTTTTTTCTTCAGAAAACTGATATTGAGAAGTATCAGAAGTATTAGACTGTTACTTTATATTGCAGGTGAGAGCAAAGTATAGTATTTCTTCATAAAATATTCATAAAACATTTTCTTCATTAAATAAAAATCTTATGAGAAAAAAATAAATATAACAAAAAGTAATTTTTTAAAAAATGTCCTTTTATGATGTTTTATAATTTAGAAAATTTATCTGAAAAATTGATTATGTTTTGTTCTAATACTTGTAACAGGGATAATCCATTGCAAGAACTAGACTATTTTTTAAAAAATGAAGTTAAGAAATTAATTAATGGTATAGCTGAGAAGCCCTTTCTTTACTCTGACAATATGCTTTCAATTTCAATATCTTCTACTAACATTAAAAGTAAAGCCAAAGATTCTCCAGACTAGCACACCAATATAGCTTAACACCGAATAAGCCAGATTTATATCATGAATGCTCTACTTGCAGGGCTTTTCAACCCATGGTACACGTACCACCAGTGGTACTTTAGCACCTGGCTGGTGGTATGCGAGCCCTAGCTAATCGTAGTGGGGGAGGGAACCAGTTAAAGTGGAGCTGCACAAACCTGGAGGAGATCAGCTGGAGCTGCAGAGCTTGGCAGAATCCCCAGGATCTGCCACATGGCGACATAGTAATTGGAACTTCTGGTACACCCGGAAGAGAAAGGAAAGAGGAGGGCAGAGAGAAGGTATAAAAGGGGCAGACCAAGAAGACACTTTTCTTACTGAAGCAGTGAGGAGCAAGCGGCCTGTTTTCGAAGGAACAGTGAGAGAGCAGCCTGTTTTCAGAGGACGGGTGAATGAGCAAGTGGCATGTTTTTGGGGGAAGGGCAAGCAAACGAACGGCGTGTTTAGCAAACACGTGCTTTCAGGCGAAGGTTGAGTTAGTGAGTGGCAGGTTTAGCAAGCATGTGTTTTCAGGCGAAGGTTGAGTTGGTTGAATTAGTTAGTAGCATGTTTAGCAAGCACGTATTTTCAGGCAAACATTGAGTTAGCAAGCAAGTAAGCTGGGCAGGAGCCTAGGAGCACAGCTACAGTTGAGCTGCGCTTCTGCTGAGCCACCCAGAAGCACAGATCATCTGTAGCCCGGCGCTGATCCTGGGGCTTCACTTAGCAAGCAGCATGTTTTCAGGTGAAGCACAAGCAAGTGAGCTGGGTAAAAGCCTACGACCAGCGTGTGTAGCTCCAGCTGATTGGGGATGGCAGGCAGCCTTGCGCAGTCTTCAGGCAGTGATACAGCTGGAGCTGCGAGAGGGATTGCCTGCCTGGGTCCTGCTGAAGGGGAGAAAAGAGATGATATTAAAGGGGGTGAGGGAAGAGATGTTATTAAAGGGGGTGAGGGAAGAGATGATATGAAAAGGAATGGGGGAAGAGATGATATTAAAGGGGGTGAGGGAAGAGATGATATTAAAGGGAGTGAGAGAGGACTGCCTGTACTTTATCACTTTTTCCTGGGTTTTTTGGGGGGGGTCATCAAGTTTTTGACACCTTGCTAGGCGACTGGTGGTACTTGATTATTGCAATATTCTAAAAGTGGTACAATCGGTTAAAAGGTTGAAAAGCCCTGCTCTACTGCACTCTAAACCTGAGACAACTGAACCCTCTACTGACTCTTTCCAAATTGTTCCGAAGATTTCACCCTCTCTAAAGACAGAAGGGAATCCATCCAACCTATATTTTCCAGCCAGGTCATCTTTCATAAGCTTATATTTGCTACCACATAATTATATATTTCTATGCAGTCTTCCCTCATTCTGTATAATTCACAACTATATTAAACTCCAAAATTGTTAACAGAGATACTATTGTTTTCTTGCTAAAGACTGCCTGCACATCTCTCATGTTTTTTTATAAACTTTCACAGTTGTAGGATACTACCAAATATTCTGATTCACTGTATCAGTTAATTTGTTGGTGGGGTTTTTTGTTGTTGTTGTTTTGGAAAGGCATTTTTAACAATATATAAATTTGCTCCTGTTTTTAATCTTTTTTAGGCATTTTATGCAAATGAAAACCACTCTGGGAACACTTGAGATCAAATATGTATGATAAAAATAATTTAAATAAATATAATACATATATTTATGTTAACCAGAAATTTTAACCAGGACTATCACAATCTAAAAAAAAAACCAACAACAATCAATGATATTTTGAAAAATTTTACCAGAACTACATGATTCAAAAATGTAGTCAGGAAGTTGGAGAAAATAAATTTCAGAAATTTTTCCTCAGATCACTTGTATAAGTCCCCTGACTTCCTCTTGCCTACCTGATCTCATGGGGGTCACATCGAGGAAATAAAATGCTTAACTCTGATACAAGCATATTCTTCTAGTCAATTGTACAAGTCAATTGTTTTATATGGTTTATGAGGTAAGACACTGATTAAATACAGATTGCATTATATTTAATAGAAATTTTATTTTAAAAAATCAATTTTAGATTTGGAATTTTCTGAAAATAAGTTGTTGCTAATTGTTTTTAAATGGTTTTGTTTGGAAGTGCACCTTGGCATTTTAATCAGAAACTTCATATAATAGGAAAGGGGGTTGGAGAATTCGCTACGGGCCACAGAACTACGATACCAAACACAGCTCAAGCACTTAGAAACAGAGATTGAAGATCTGGAGAAGGAACTCCAAGAAGTGCGGCAGGACATCGAAAAACAGCTCCAGCAACATGAAATATTATTGAATTCCAAGATGAGACTTGAGCAGGAAATAGCTACCTATCGTAGTCTGCTGGAGAAGGAAGAGAAAAGGTACCTCTGCCTAAATCAAAGTTCTTAAAGTGACTGAGGTTGTTTACATTGCATTAGTTGCAAAGAGCCATGGTGGTGCAGTGGTTAAAATGCAGTACTGCAGTCTAACTCACTGCTCACTCCAGGAGTTTGATTCCCACTAGCTCAAGGTTGACTCAGCCTTCCATCCTTCCAAGGTCAGTAAAATTAGGATCCAGATTGTTGGGGGCAACATGCTAATTCTGTAAAACTGCTTAGAGAGGAACTGTAAAGCACTGTGAAGTGGTATATAAGTATAAACCACTTCACAGTGCTTTACAGCCCTCTATGACTGTCCTCTCTAAGCAATCATAATTGCACTATGATTCAAGGATGCATTCAACACTAGGATTCATTTGATGTTATGATTTGTAGAACTACAGTAGCTTGGATTCATACATAAAACTAACCCAGAATGAGAGAGTTCATGTATATCAAGGCAAAATCAAGTCAACCACATTATGCCTTTCTGTTGCATAAGAATCAGATCAGTGAAATGAACAAAAATATCTTATTGCCTAATAATGAATTGAGAAAATTTTTGATTGGAATAGAATTTCTGGGAGCGTTGAACCCTGAGATGGGCGAGATGATTTGAAATGTTTATTTATTAACATTTATTTATTAATCAAATTTATATAGCTACCCAGAGTCAGGTATTGATATGGGCAGCTACAGATAATCCTCGACTTAAAACTGCAATTTCCATTGCTAAGCAAGATAGTTCTTGAGTTTTGCCCCATTTTGCAACCTTGGGCCCCTCATAAATATGAGTCAAGTGTCTACATTTTGATCACATCACCATGGAGATGCTGCAATGATCATAAGTGTGAAAAATGGTCATGAGTCACTTTTTTCATGCTATTGTAACTTCGAATGGTCATTAAACAAATTGTTGAAAGTTGAGGACTACCTGTATATAAATTTAATTAATTAATAAAAAAATTAATTGTTGGACATCAGCACCTGGTATAAGCTATGAGGATATCACATGTGTCATAGCATCATACATACTATATGAATTATTATTATTTTTATTAAAAAGTTTTATAAAAATTACAATATAACCCACCCAAGACCCCCCCTCCCTCCCCAACTTCCCAGAGCTGAGTACAGGGTTACAAATATGATAATCATAATCTAACTAACATTAACCAACTATATAAATAACCAAGTCCATAATGCACTTTAACTCCCCTTTAGCATAAATATAAACAAATTAAAAATAAACATAATAATAATGAAAACATAAACAAATTAATATCCTAATTATTAAACAATACAATCTCCAAATTGTTAAACAATACTAATACTAATACTAATAATAATATCATAATAATACTCTAAAATTCACTCATACGCTAAATGAAACTTTTTAGTCCCATATTTATTCTAAATATAATTTATCCATCTTCTCCAAACTGAAATATATCTTTCTTGTGAGTGATCCTTCAAGTAAGCAGAGATCTTAGCCATTTCTGCTAAATTTGACACTTTAAGCATCCATTCTTCTATAGTAGGCAAGCAATCCTTCTTCCAATATTGTCCTATTAGTAACCTTGCAACTGTTATCAAATTCAACATCAAATTAATTTCTTTAATATCACAATCTATAATAACACCCAATAAAGATAATTGTGGGGTAAACTTTATCTTTCTCTTGAAAATCTGTTGAATGTTCCACCAAATCTTAATCCAAAAGGCTTTTATATTTCTACAAGTCCACCATATATGAAAATAAATGGCATCCAACTTACCACATCTCCAATATTTGGGCTGTAAATTAGGATACATACAAGACAACTTTTTAGGATCCAGATGCCATCTATAAAACATTTTATAAAAATTTTCTCTTAAATTTTGTGCCTGGGTAAATTTTACATTTCTAACCCAAATTACCTCCCATGTATCCAATGGAATCGGTTTTTGAATATTTTGAGCCCACTTTACCATACAATCTTTAACTAATTCCATTTCCAAATCCATTTCTATTAAAACATTATAAATTCTCTTTATATGCGCTCGGTTTTGATCTTTAATCTGTTTTACCAAATTCTCGTCCATTAAAGTAATATCAACCTTTTGATCTAACTTCCACCTAACCAACAATTGATTATACTGAAACCAAGACTGTACAATATTTTCTTGCTTTAACTCAGCTAACAATTTTAATGCCAATCATTCCCTACCAATCTAAGTAATTCCTTATAAGAAATCCTATCCAAATTCACACCCCTAGATACCCCCTCTATCGCGTGTCCAGGAATCCCCCAAATTGGTGTTTTATAATTTAACGTATAATAATACTTCTTCCAGACATGCAATAAAGCACTTCTTAAAATATGGGATTTAAAAACCTGATCCACCTTTTTATCATAAATTAAATATGCATGCCATCCATATAGTAAACATACTATATGAATTATTAATGTACATAATTTTTATTATAATATCATGGCATGCTATCAGTTGCTCCCAATAATACCCATGTGGGAAGAAAAAGAACAGTTAGACAATTAGAAAACAGTTGATTGGGAACTGGAGAGGCTTAGATTTAGATTGTATGCTATAATCAGTATTCAAACATGTTTTTGAGGTTAGGAAGAAACCCAAATTGTTCTTTTTCCTCCTTTTTTGTGTTCTGTTACTTTATGAGATAATAAAGTAGAACCACGCTAAAAATTGAAACAACATACCATAGTGTGTTCTTTTAGCATGGCATAGTTTATCTTCCAGAGTATTAAAGAAAAAACATGATTAGTTATTAAAAGAAAATGTCTGCAAGAACTTCAAGCTATTTATTTATTTGTATTTATTTATTTGATTTGTGAGTTGTCTATCTTGCCTTAGAGGTGACCCTGGGCAACGTATAAACATTAAAAACTGATAAACATTAAAACAAACAATAAGTAACATAATGATAATTCACAACTGAAAGATGGGGATGAGAAGGAACAGATGGGGTCTTCCTAATCCAATAGCCACCTCCAAAGTGGTGCACCTCACTGGGATCCCAGGCCAACTGGCAGAGCCAGGTCTTCAGATCCTTATGGAAAATCAGGAGGGTGGATGCAGAACTCACCTCAGGAAGGGGGGGTTCAATGTTCCAAGTTCATCCATTTCCCACCCACCCCCTTTTCCACTGAATGAAGAGTTTAAAAAGTGGTCACTTTCAACTTTGTACTAACCATAGCCATTGCTCATTGCTTTGGAACTTAAGAAAATGTCATAAAACAAAACCAAGAATGTCTCTTTTAGTATCTATAATACAATTCAATCAAAGTGGAAGTTTAGGATCATCTCTTATTCATGGACAAAAGTAGATTCAAGAAATAGATTCATGGAAGTACATTCTCATATCAAACATAGTTTACTGAAACTATGAAACCATCAATTGATCAAGTTCAGAGGTAACATATTACAGCGTATTATACAATTATGTTGAGTTTTGTGTCTAGAGAATTAGTTCTTTCCTTGGCATGTCATAACAGAAGAACCAGAAAGCTGTTATTAGGTGCTGATACTAGATTCCCAATTCAAACATCAAGAACTATCCATAAACTTCAACATGAATGGTTCAATAAGAAAGATTATGTCTGAACTGTTTGCAGGGATGAGGAACTGGTTTTCTATGTAGGGCCATAACCCTATAGAACAGTGGTTCTCAATCTTTTTATACTGGCGACCCCAGTCATAAGGAGGGGGCGCGCATGCGCGCCGCTGCCCCCTGCACGGTGCGCAGGCGCGGCACCGCCCCCTGCGCCGCCCCCTGTGCGGCGCACATGCGCGGTGCCGCCCCCTGCACCGGCTGAGGAAAAAAATGGCGGATCGCGTTGTTTGGCGGCCCCCGTGAAATGGTCGTTCGACCCCACAGGTTGAGAACCGCTGCCATAGAAAGTCAACTGGAGGGTATACTCAGTGATGGACAGATCTGAAATCAGAGGTATATATCATCTTTTTCCTTTCTGTGTTTCTGCCAGTCTCATTCTCTGCCCAATTTTTCCCCTCTGATATCTATATTCAAGGTAATACATGTGAATAACCCTAACAACTTGTAGACTGTTGAGAGTATCTCAGCAGCATCCCAAAACCTACAGTATACTTAGAAAAGAAACCAATAAAACCTGATATTGATGCAGACATTGTCCTGAATGCAGACATTGTCCTGAATAAAGGCAAATTGTATTATACAGTCAACAAGAACACTGAGCATTAATAGACACTCTACACAACCCACAGAATTCAAGATTGTACTCAGAAGACATAACACTCCTATTTTACTCTCTATCTTTTTCCTCTCTTTTCAGGTTTCATTATTCAAAACACGAAGAAACAAAAGATGTCAGAAAACCTACTACCAGCCGAATAGCATTTATTTTACCTTCATGTGAGTTTATTTAACACTAGAAAATGAATGAATCCACTATTTTATACAAATTTGACTTAAAATGGGACTCAGTTCATTTAAATTCAACTGGAAATATTGCCTCCAATAGGATTTCTACACACAAAGGATATTCTGTAATATCAGAGTTGGCAAAGTCATTTCAAGCTGTAAGAGATTCTGATTTTTTAATGTTAGACAAAATCTTCTTAACAGTAGAGAAATGAAACTAGACAAAGAGCTAGAGTAGACTGTTTCTCTCATCAGTGTTAAATTTCTTCAAGCAGGCAATAAATCACTTTTTTAGTGAAGAAAAAATGAAAAACCCTTGTGCTTAATAAATATGTATGCATACCACCGTAAATAGGTTTAGCCTATTGGAGAAGAGGAATGTACCACTAGAAATAGAGTTGGGAAGAGAAAGAGTGAGATACAGCATAACCCAACATTAACAACGCTTATAAAACACTTGATAAAGGTAAAGGTTTCCTTGTCCAGTCATGTGCATGGTGCTCATCTAAATTTCGTGGCTGAGGGAGCCAGTGTTGTCTGAAGACATTTTCCATGGTCATGTGGCCAGCATGGCTATATGCCAAAGGCCCACAGAACCCTGCTACTTTCCCACCAAAGTGGAACCTATTTATCTACTCGCATTTGCATGCTTTCAAACTGCTAAGTGGGCAGGAGCTGGGGCAGCAACGGGAGCTCACCCAGTTGTATGGCGCTCAGGTCTCAAACCCGGGCTGTCTGCTTTCTGGTTGACAAGCTCAGCATCTTTAACTGCTGAGCAATCATGCTCCCTTATAAAACACTACAGTTACAAAATTGCAATCAGAGCAGACAAGTCATATTAACATATAGGCTTAGTAACTAAATTGCATACACAGTACTTGTGGGACAGATTTATGTTCAAAAGTGTGGTTTCCTGATATAAATGATTTAAAAGATGCTGAAAATAAACCTGGTACATATTCTGAAATACAGAATATTTCTTCTGCATCTTATAAAACTGTATATTTTAATATATTTTGAATTTTTTTTATCTACATAGCAAGCAAGCTAAAAAAACATGAAATTGAAAAAGTGGAAATATTGTCAAAGCAAGCAGTCTTAAATGGAGGTATTGCAAAGGATAGCACAGACACTCATAGTACAATACAGTAAGTTAAATATGTGTATGTATGTATAGTTATAATATCTAATTCATAAAAATATGCCCAAAGTAGGTGTAGCCTAGAATTCACGGACTCCTCAACTGAAGATCATAACTGAGATCATAATTTCCACTGCTAAGCAGGGAGTCATTAAGTGACTTGCACCAATGTAGTTTCTCCTATTGCTTGACAGAAGCTGGCTGGAAAGGTTGTAAATGCAATCACATGACCCCAGGATGCTGCAGCCATTGTAAATATATGTCCATTGCCAAATGCCCAAATTTGGATCAAATTACTATAGGGATGCTGTAATTGTTATAAGTGTGAGAACAGGTCATAAATCACTTTTTTCAGTACTGTTGTAATTTAGATTGACACTAAATGAATGCTGTTAAGTTAAGGACTGCCTTTCTAGACTATATATCTTATTAAGGAAAACAATAGAAAAAGTATATGTTGCAACACTATTGCCTTGTAATACATGTCTTTCATAGAAAACAAAAGCAGAAATCTTTCAAGCCTGTTTGTTAGAAATAGAGATAAATGGAAGGATAGATAAATATAGAACAGATGTTCATATAGCCTCTTTGTTTCACCAAAATAAACATATTTCTGAGTATAAACTTGTCTTGAAATCCTAGCCTGAGGACATGTTTTGCATGAATACCTATACATAATAATCTATTTATTGTTTCAGGACAGAAAAAGTAGATGAAGTGATTAAAGAGTGGGAAGGCTCTTTCTTCAAGGATAACCCTCACTTAAGAAAAAAGTCTGTTTCTTTGCGCTTTGATCTTCACTTGGCAGCTACAGATGAAGATTGTTTACATATGAAACAGAAAAGTCTGCCTGATATTGAAGTGAGATTGATTATGAGAAGGTCTTGCAGCATCCCATCAATGAAAACTTAAATCAGCGTCAATTCAGAAATTGAACAAGTGTTCAGTTAATTCTTTAAAGCAATGGTTCTTTGGTTTTTTTTAAATAGGATTAATCATTATAAAAAATCGAATAACCCTTGAGTTTTTCGCAATAGAATTGTCCTTTATACAAAAACCATAGTGCTCATGCTTGCAAATATGTGAAAAACAGAATTGTATGGAATTGGCATTAAAAATATTGCATTTCAAATCTCAATTATTTTAATTTTGTGAAGGAGCTTTGTAGTCTCATTGAATACATGTCAATGCTAAACACTTGTGGCAGCTAGCTAAATAAAAATTGATCTACGAAAAATTGTCCCTCCATATTTCTTTCCTTAGAATTTGCTGATGAATGCAAAAATTCAAGAGCAAAACAGGATTTTGGTGGTGCAGTTTCAGGTCTAGTTAGCAGGTTTTAAGAGTGAGAAAGCAAACTGTTTGTCTTCCCTTTCCCCCTCAAAAATCATAGCCATCTTTTTGTTGGTATCATAATGTCACTGGATCATAATATGTGCCCTTCAAATGGTTAGTTAGGAGGGCAAATTGTGGTCTCTGCCTCTCCAAATATTATGTATCTCATGTTCTACTTTATCAAAATTTCAAAGTCTAATCTCATTAAGAATGACATATTTAGTGCGGATAATATTCATTTGATCCATTGTTTTTGTTCTGAAGTCTGACTCTAATCTGATTAATTTGAAAACTATTGCTTTTATTAAAATCTAGTCAACTAGCAAACAAAATACAAAATGTCAAAGAAACAGTAGCTCTACAAAAAATTAGTTGCTTCCCAAAACTATAATTGTATTTATAGTTTAATCTCTGAGCTTGAAGCCGAGATCAAAAATAGCTATTATCATTATCCAAAACAAAAAAAATCATGGTACCTTTTAATTATCTTTCAATTATGCCACCCATCTCGCCTAGAGGCAACTGTAGACAACTTACAATCAATTAAAAATATTAAAACAAGGGATATTAACACTAAAATTTAGTTAAGATGACGGAAGGGAAGGAAGCAAGATGCACATAGAAAAGGTGGGGATTATCAAAAGCAGTGGACAATTAATTTGTAAAAGATTAAGATAAATTCATACACTAAATAAAATTTAACATTAGGTCTTTGTTGCCATATAATGCTCACCCTGAATTTTGCAACCATCTGACGAGCCTTAGGCAAAGGTAAACTCCAAATCTTTTATACTTATAGTTAAAGACAACAAGCATTGATTTTGTATTTTAAAAGAATGATTTAGATTTACCTGGGGCAACCTATTCACTGTACCAGTCCAACAAATAAGTAGGAATAGTGAAATAGGCTAGAGCATGCCCATGTTACACCACTTTTATGAAAGCCACACTCATTGACAGTTTGCTTCCAGGTCCAATTCAAGATGTTGGTTCTTACCTTTAAAGTCCTTCATGGCATGAATCCAGGTTGCCTAAAGAACAGCCTCACTTCAGTGGAATTAGCCTGTCTCACCCATGCTGGCAGAAGGGGCATGCTGCAGACCTGATCGGTTAAGGAATTCCAGCGGGTGGGGTTCAGAGTAGGAGCTTTTTCTGTCCTGATTCCCACCCTCTGGAACATTGTGCCACCTCCAAAGTGAGATCTGCACCCACTCTTTTAGCCTTTCAAAAGGGTCTGAAGACCTCTGCCAATTGGCTTGGGTCCCTGATGAGAGCTTGTTAAACTGAAGGTGATTAATGGACTGACATAAGACCTCACCTCTCCCTGCAATCTTCTTTACCCCCTTCGTTAAGTCTTGTCAATTTTGGTGCTAATATTTATTAATGTTTTACTGGTTGTAAGTTGTTTAGCATCATTTCTAGGTCAAATAGACATCATATGTTTAATAAGTAAATAAATATACATATTAGAACACAAATATATTATTTAAAAAATAAAAATTCAAACCCGCTTAAGTTTATACAAGATTTTGCACAAATATAACAAGGCCTCACAATCTATCAAGTCACTGATAAGTAATTTTATTTTTTATTTCAAAAATAATGAATCTGTTCCTAAACTGAAATTAATTCATATTATAACAATAAGAACATGTTACGGAAGAACAACATCACAAATAAAAACAATTTCATTGCTCTTAATTAAAGTATGTACAGTGGATTTGGCAAACCAAACAAATAGCTTACATTCAAGGAAAATGAATGCATAAACCCCATAATAAAATAGTTTATTTAGCTATATAAATCTCAAGTATGTATTTCATATTTTTCTTTCTTCAAGCCAAATATGTCAAAGAATGGCAACAGATTCTGTTCATCTGACTACATTTGTTCAAAGCTCCAATTGGTTCAAAATGCAGTGGCCCAAATGGTTTTGTTCAGACACAGGTGTGCACATGTGTCACTTCTCCTGCAGAAACTGCATTAGCTGCCAATTTGCTTCCAGGTGCAATTCAAGATGCAGCTCTACATGGCTTGGCACCAGGTTATCCGAAGGACCATCTCTCCTTGATTACATCCACCCACCCAGTAGATCAGGGAGGCAGGGAATGTTGCAAGTCCTGTCTCCTAGGGAAGTACATCTGACAGGATCCAGAAGGTCCTTCTCCGTGGTAGCTTCCACCCTTTGGAACACCATTCCCAAAGATTAGACTGGCCCCCACTTCGACAGTTTTTTGCAAGGCCCTGAAGATCTAGTTCTACCAATAGGCCTGCTGATCCCCAAATGGGATAGAGCCTATCGTGTGGCTAATCTGATTGCTTGTTCTCACCAAGGGGATATTGTTTTGCTCTTTTTATATTGATTGTTTTATTGTTTGTAGGCCACCCAGAATCACTGAATAAATAAACACAAATAATATAAAGCACCCAAGAAAACAGAAGCCTATTTGGTGTAGGGTTAAAGCATTAGGCTAGACCAGTGGTTATCAACCTGTGGGTCCCGACCCCATTTGGGGTTGAACGACCATTTCACGGGGGTCGCCAAACAATGCAGTCTGCCATTTTCCCCCCCTTTTCCTTAGCTGTGCTACTCCCTTTTATTCTATTGGCTTTGGAAAGCCAATAGAATAGACTCTCTTGAATAGAGTCTAATTCTATTGGCTTTCAAAAGCCAATAGGAATTGTCCAGGCTGTCTCTGCCTGCTGAGCCCGCCAAAAGTCCCATTCTGCAAACGGTGCTGCAAGTTGTCTGCAGCAAAGGCGAGCTGTCTGGAAGCTTCCACCCCTCCCTGCTGAGCAACTACTAAAAATGTAAGTAAAAGAGGGCCAGGGGTGGGAGGTGGGAGGCCGGCGGCTGCAGGGAGGGTTGCTGGTGCACGTGGGGCCTGGCGGGTGCCTTACCTCTCTTGGGCTGGGCCAGCTGGTGGCCCAGTCAGTGGTCGGCCTGCTCCGTCTCTGCCGATTGCCAGCTACGCCTCGGCCGGCACAGGGGGCGGCACCACGCATGCGCGGCACTCCCAGGCAGGGAAAGTCCTTGACTTACGACCGGTTGGATAGTCGTCGACTTACGACTGGTTGGGGGTCGCAGCATTAAAAAGGTTGAGAACCACTGGGCTAGAAAATGGGAATGCTGAGTTCTAGTTCAACTTTAGATACAGTGCCAGCTGCATGAACATTCTCAGCCTCAAGAAGGAGAAAATGGCAAACCATTTCACAAAAAAACTTACCAAGAAAACTGCAGAGACCAGTCCAGGCAGCATCAGGAATCAAGAACTGATTCTTGATTCACACACACATAAACACCAGGGAAAAGTCATCTTTTTATGGGCATGATAGACTTAAACACACTCTTACTCCCTATTTAAAATATTTTATATTTTTTTCTAAGACATTCATAATACGGGTAATCCTCATAACAACAATAATTGGGATTAGAATTTCCATCATTAACTAATGTCACATGACTACATAAGTTAGCAGCAGCAATCCCAGGAGTCCCCTTGCTGTCATGAACCAAAGATCGTGGGGTTTTAAGCAGGGACTCTATGTGACCAAAATTTGTGATATCCACCTGGCTTCCCACAAGCAAAACAAAGTACTACAGTATGAGGTGGTGTGGGGATGCTGCAGCAAGAGTGAATGAACTGGGGAGGCTTGCAATGGTACCATGGTGCGTGGGCTGGAAAAGTGTTGCTGCTATGCTGCATAAATGCAGGCAGGCAGGGGAGAGATGTTACAATACTATAGGAGTGCAGTTGGGAAGGAGGAGGTGCTGCAGCCACACATGTATGACTGGAGGGAAGGGGATGCTGTGAATCCTCAGGACAAAAGTGGCAGGAGTGATATGCAACCTTCCTGCCAATTTTCCCATTTTGCTTGTGGGAAGTTGGAAGAAAAGGTTGCAAATGGCAATCAGATGAGTGCAGGATGCTGCAATCTCCATAAGAGTGAACCAATTGCCAGGTGCCCAGATCACAAATCACGTGACCGTGGGGATGCTGTAATGGCTGCAAGTTCAAAGTACCATTTATTCAATGTCATTGCAGCTTGTAACCTAGATGATATAGCTTAGCATTGTATGTGAACTAAGGAAGTTATATTTTTTTCTACAACCCGTTGCTCAGTAGGATAAATAAAACCATAGTATGGCACAAAACCCAATGTTAACCATGATTCACTGAATATATCACGTTTGGCTAAAATTGCATAACACAGTAAACAATAGTTTGCAAAAAAAATCATCCACAACATACTGAACTAAAATGAAGCAAGCACATTTGATAAAATATGTGAATACAGCTTCTGCTCCTTAATAAAGACAACACTATCTTACACTTAAACATGTTGCTTTTGTATCCTGAAATTAGAATTCATCTTCTCCAACTATATTTTATGTTACATTTTCCTTCATTCCTTGTCCTCCCATCACCACTATTAGATTTATGAAAATGTTTTGTGTTATTTTGTTTTCTTAAATTAGCCTAAGCCTGACCCTCCATGACTCCATGGACCACAGCACGCTAAGCCCCCCTCCCCCGTCCTCCACTGTCTCCCAAATCCATGTCCATCAGGTTGATGACAGCATCTAATCATCTCATCCCCTGCTGTCCCCTTCTCCTTTTGCCTTCAATCTATCCCAACATCAGGTCTTTCTAATGAGCCCTCTCTTCTCACCTGGTGGCCAAAGTATTTGAGCTTCAGCTTTATTATCTGCCTTTCCAAACATCAGTCAGGGTTGATTTCATTTAAGATTGACTGATTTGATCTTCATGCAGTCTAAGAGACTCTCAAGAGTCTTCTCCAACACTAAAATTCAAAAGCATCAATTCTTCAGCACTCAGCCTTATGATCCAACTCTCACGTCCATATATCAAACCATAGTTTTGACCATA